CTACTACCCTAAACTACCCTACCAACAGCAGACAATATATATATATATATATATATATATATATAAAAAGAGGGAATGAATGAAATCTTTTAAAAAACAAAGCATAAAATCCTCTCCAAGCAGAGTTTTGACCCTGAAAAGGGACAAGTGCCAGAGACTCCATCAAGATTCTTAGGGACTTTGCTATTGCTTCTAATTATACATGGAAGGTGCTCCAATACGACAGTGATGAGCAACAGTATGAAACCTGAAGGTTGATAAAGTACAACCTAAAATGCAAGATACGGTACTGCACACAAACGCAAGAGATGTATATTGCAACCTTAAGTGTATTCATGGTTGCCAAATTTTGTGGACAAGAAATGTAACTTTAAGCTGGAAGAAAACTGGACAATCTTTGAACTTGAAAAACAATCTGTTTGTTAGGAGCCACCGATTTAAAGGTTCAAAATGTTGACTTTAACATAGCATAAAAGATTAATAATAATATTAATACCTCACCCACCTTTTCTCCCTAATATCTGGGACTAACACTGCATACAACAATGGAAGACTGTAATGCTGACATGAAGCATCAGAAAACAGTGACTTGATTAGCAATTAAATGGAACAAAGGTTAGCAGTCACTTTTAATTAGTAATGAAACTGTACATTAAAAAAGACATTTAAGATTTAAGCCTTTAATACCCTGTTGAGTATTCAGAGGCAGCAGTAAACAAGGTGCTGATATACATTACACTGCAAACAATGCCAGTGTTGAGCCAACTGGGATGAGCCACAAATCAGAGTGAAATTTCAATGCAAGAAGTTTAACGGTAAGAGATAAGGGACTGCAATCAAATTACACCACAAACAGGTCCATTCATCCGTAAGCATTATTGAACAGAGCAGATTGAATTACAGAATGGAATGAAACCATTTAGAAAAATAATGCTAACTTATTCTCTCTCCTCTTGCCATGCAAAAGTCCCCTGTCTTTAAACATAAATGCTATTTGGGATGATTCAGTGAAGAAAAGTGAAATACAAATTATCAGGCTCAGAAAACCGAAAAAGAGTTTGGGTTATTTACCTCCCACTCTATCCACGTAAACCAACAAATGTCAACAACCTGACTATATTTTTATATAGATATAGCATGCATTTGCAATTCAAATTGTTTTCCTCTGAGGCGCCTTGGCAGAATACATATATATTTTTATAGACTGGCCAAAATAATAAGAAAAAAATATTCTCATACTCTGCCTGCCACAGCATTTTTTCTTCTTCAGATACCTCTCACAAACCACAATGCTTAATAAATAAATAATAAAATACAGGACTGTAATATTGCAACAATGCATGCACTTCAATCCCTTCTTATTCCAGAGTACTCAGCATTTAAAAAGCACCCTTAAAAGAGCAAATCGTGTAAGGGGTGTTTGTTTTAAATAAGTGCTAGGGGAAAAAAAAAAAAAACAAACCCACACCACTCCTCCTCCTGCTTCTGCTCTCGTCTTTGTTGTCCAGACCGATCGCCTTTTTATTTATTTACTTTTCTTTAAATTAAAAAACAAAACTTTCCATGGCTCACCCCCCTCTCCCCCCCGGCACATTCCCCACACCTGTTTTCATTCATCCATTCATTTACAAGAACCAGCTCCCCGGCGACATATGCATGTTAAAAGAACAGAACAGCAAAACAAGGGGAGACAGACAAACTGAGGTTTTCTTAAAAATACATATTAAACAAAAAAGCAAAGAAAAAATAAAACCAATAAAACACACACACACACCCCTTCCAACGTTTGGAGACAAGGAAGAAAAAAAAATGCAAAAGAACCAAGTTGTTTTCCCCCTCCCCCCTCTATCCTAGCTTCTGCAATGGAATTAGCCACGGGAATCGGATCTCACTGGCAGCCTCTTTTATCTTTCATTTTTGCTCCCCTTATTTATTTCTCTGGCACTTACCTGGTCTTGGAGGAAAGGAAAGCAAGTTTGATTAATCCATAGGTAAACAACTGGACGCTCTCCTTGGCTATGCTGGCTACTTTGAGCCTGTGCTCTAAAATGTGCAGCTCCATCTTTTCCTTTTTCTCATTTGTAGTTCATCTAGGTTGGGGTTTAATTTTTTTATTAATCTATGTTGTTAAAAAAAGGGAAGGTTTTTTTTTTAATTATTTTCTTCTTCTTCTCCCCCTTTAAGACTCCAGGAAAAGGGAGGGAGCAGGGGGGTGGGAGAAGCCGATGTGAAAGTTAGAGAGAGATTTAAAGCAAGAGAAGACGGGCAGAGGGGGAAGCTAAGCAAAGGACCAGAGGCAAAAGGAGTTAAGGGAGCTCAGAGGCAGCAAAAACTCCAAAGTGCAGAAAGCAGCTGGTGTTACAGTGTAACAAACAACTTGCCACTCAAACGGACCTCCACTGGGCATGCGCTCTCCGGTTGGTGCATGCTGGGAGTTGTAGTCCATTGGGGGAGGGACCCTGTAGCCTCGGGCTTCCATGGGTTTAATACAGACCTGGAGCAAAGAGGTCTCAGGGGTGTGTGTTCAGACCTCCCAACTGAGTTACTGCGGGAAGCGTGTGTGAGTTTTATTCTGTGGCAGTTTTGGAAGCATCTTCCCCTAGGTTTTGCTGTAGTTTTCAGCCGGCTGACAATGCATGTGCATATACACACACAGGCAACACTGCTTCTACGCTAATTGTCCCAATCCAACAACAACAACAAATACACAAGTGGTCCTACGGACGGCAATGGGGCAACTCCCTTATGTAAAGTTAAGCCTGTATGTAAAGCAGCGGTTCTCAACCTGCGGCCCAAACGGCGCACAGCTGCGGCCCACGTGATATCCTCAGGGACATACATACAGGTAGTATATATATTGTGTGGATGCAGCCCACGTAACTCTCAGAGAGCTGCATATGCAGCCCACAATGGTAAATAGGTTGAGAACCACTGATGTGAAGACAGACAGGGCCTGAAAGACTGCTAGAAGATGCCACGGACCAGAAAAGCCAGAGGTGGGAAGAATTTGGAGGCTCTAAATAAGAAGTTATGACGCCATTTCAAACCTCATCAGCTTATTCTCACCATCATGTTTAATGTGTGTCACTTACCTACTCCTACATAGAGACAAAAATATGTGATACATGTACAAATACTGTGGATGCAGCAATTGTTTTACACACTGGATTTCAAACTATTTAATCAATCATATAAACTGTTGTGGAAGTGGCCCCTTTCATGTGTTACAGTCCATACACATGTAACATACAAAAAACATGGCATTGTCCCCTCAGCCAGATCCTGCAGACTGTCCCATTAAAATCAATGGGACTACTCAGGTAAGTCAGTCCTCAGCACAAGGGGGGAAAGAGTTGAAGGACTGGACCCTTGAAACAGACAGTGCATTTCCATATGCACCACTTCACAAGCCATACTGCACTGAGGACGTTGTGATTGCATTTCAGTGCACTCACTGGACTTCAGTGGTACTCTAGGCAGGCACAGGAGTCTGCCCACACAGAGCCCATGGTGGGTCTGCCCTGCACTGTTCTCAGCACGGGATCTGGGCCTCAAAGACTGATCTGAAGCTCATTGAATGGAACGGCTCCTATTTACTTCCATGGGTTTTGGATCAGGCCCTGATCCTGCAACCACCACCACCACCTAGTTCTTATATAGTCCTTTTCAGCAGTAGATCACAAAGTACTTGAGAAAGGAGAGAAGAATCATTACCCCATTTTACAAATAGAGAAACTGAGGCATAGAGACGAAGCAACTTGCCCAAGGTCACCCAGCAGGCCCATAGCAATGGTAGCCAGCTCTCCTGAGTCCCAGTCTGGTGCTCTATTCACACATGGATACAGGAAGTCTGCCTTGTGCAGAAGTCGTAGGAAGACTGGAATGAATTAAGCATTAAAGGCCTGATTATGCTCCTGTGGCAAAACTCCTATTGAGATCAATTGTGTGGGATAAGGCTCTAAATCCCAGATCAATCAAATCAAGTCACCCTTTAGTTCTCCCTGGAGCAGACTTTCACTTCTTTCCACTGTGCAGCGTGCTGTGTGTCATGGGACCACTGAACTCCACCCCAGAGTGGCAGCCATATTTCAGTGGGACTCTCTTTTAATTTTGTAACTCACAGAAAGGCTTAAGATGGGCTCTATAAAACATGAACATAGATGAATGCCTATACATAGTTTTCAAAGCACTTTGAGGGCATTTGGAGTGAAAGGTGCTGACCAGCTATAAAGAAATTGTTTTAAAGCACTGTTCGAGCATTGCTTTTCTGTATTTTAAAACATTAGCAAACTTCTGCAGTCATATTCCTTCTTTAATGCTAATATATTACTCAAAATTTTCCTTCTGGAAGCTGAGACAGGGTCTCAGAGAGAGTGTCCACTGCCAGTTTAAGGGCTTGGTCCTAATCCTCAAAGCCATTGATGGATCAGGTCCCAGCTACAAACAGCACTTCATAGATGGTCACTAAGATGCTTGAGCTGTTCTGGGACAATGCAGATCAAAGTTCAGAGGAAGCAGTCAGATGCAAGGCATTCTCAGTCAAGGTTATCTGGTTGCAAATGAGCTTCCAGAGGAAATCAGACAAATGCAGAAACTCAATCACCCATAGAAAATCCTGCAAAACCTTCCTCTTCAATAATGCTTTCCTACCATTATAAGAGCACCACTCATAACTTCAACCATTCACTTCCCCACTTAAAAAGACAAACCCGTCCTAAGCAGCACAGCTTCCTTTAATCCAAAAAAGGAGAAGAGCCAAAGACTCCATAAAATCCGCTAAAGATTTTGCTATCACCCATCTAATTAATATCGGAGGTGCTCAGATACTGCAGTGATGGGTGACAGTACAAACCCAAACGTAAGGCCAGAGAGTAGGGTGACCAGATGTCCCGATTTTATAGGGACAGTCCTGATTTTGGGGGGCTTTGTCTTATATAGGTGCCTATTGCCCTCCACCCCCCATCCCGATTTTTCACACTTCCTGACTGGTCACCTTCTGTAGCAGGTGAATCATCAAACACTTTCACACTGCCTATGGGAAAGGAGAAAAAGGACAGTGAGTTAAGTCACCTGGACTCATTAAACAAAAGGGTTTCTCAGTTGGAGAGTTCTACCTCTAGTATTCTCCAAAATTGTAACTGCCACCCTGGCTATGTTTCTCTGTTTGGTCTGATCAGCTGCCAAGATTTCCCAAGCCTTTAAGAGAATGCCTGAAGGTTTCTTTTCAGTTGGAGATGCTGGCCCGCATAGCTATGTGAACCTTCATATGGCTGACTGTAGAAGTCTCTCTTTGGGAGATATTTAAAGAAAAAGAGTGCCTAGCTCAGCAGGCAAACTGGCAATTAGCCACATCCCAAAAACTCTTCTGGGTCCTTCTTAATGTCATTAGCATCCAAATCCCAGTGTCTCCCATCTGACCAGATAGAAGGCTACATATAAATTGAGGCTTCCGCTGAGTTTTCGTTCAGGGAGCAAAGTGGAATATATAAAATGATTTTAAAACAGTTTCAAATTGTATCCTTGTCCTTTTTTATCCGTATCACTATCGTCTGTGGGCCTCAGCTAGAGACTAGCATCCCTTGGGCTAAGAGCCTACACTCCCTGTGTTGTTTTGATCTCACCAACAGTGTCTTGACCTCTAATCAGGAGGTCTTATCAGCTTCTGAGATCTAAAATTAGTATAAACAATATGAATCTTAATATGGACAATGCAATGACAATTTTACTATCTTGGATTAATATGCTCAAAGCAGGTTTAATCAGGTTTTGTAAAGGGCTTTGAGATCTACGGACAAACATATAAGTAGTATTATTATTTGTTCCTTTGTACTAGTGTGTACTTTTCCATGGTAAACGCATAGACTGTGCACTGGTACAGGAGATACACACTGCATATGAAGAAATACTTCACATTTCTATAGTGCTATTATAACCCCTGGGGTGGTGTATGTTTACGTGTCCCAATCTACAGGGAACGCAAGTGTGTAACGGTCCCCTGGCTCTTTAGCTAGGCAATGGAGATGCATGCTTTAAGCTCAGGAGGTCTCCCCAGGTGACTCCCTGATGTTTGCCAAGATGGAAGCCATCAAGCTATTGTCGAAGTGGTTTAATAGCATTAACTAGTTTATTCTCAGATGAAAGGTACTTTCTCATTATGAAAGGAGTAGCCGTGTTAGTCTGGGATCTGTAAAAAGTGACAAAGAGTCCTGTGGCACCTTATAGACTAATAGAAGTATCGGAGCATAAGCTTTCGTGGGTGAATACCCACTTCGTCAGATGCATGTGGTGGAAATTTCCAGAGGCAGGTATAAATATACAGGTATAAATATTTCTCATTATCGTGGAACACTTTAAAAAAGTTAAACAAGCCCCTTAACACCCAAGTATGATTGTGCCTATTTTACAGATGGGTAAACTGAAGCTCTGAGTGGTAAATGCCACATCCAAAGTCACATAGTGAGTTGTTTCTCACTCTGGGAACAGATTTCATGGGCCACTGCCCTAACCACTAGGCCATAGGGCCTCGGTGAAGGTGTCTCTCAGGCAAATAAATTGGGGACAGTTTATGAGCTGCAATGTTGTACTACAATTACAATTAACCTCTTTAAATAAGTCAATCCTTTAAGAAAAACCTTCCATAAAAACTCAAAAATCTTCCCCAAATGATAGGTTCTGGGCTTCCTTGAGAAAAAAAATAGCCATTTAATTGAAAAGAGCAGTTTATCAGGCTAATTTCCTTATAGCAACAAGAGACCTTTCAAAACCTGATTGCTGCTAATATGCCAGTGTTTCAAAGTGTTTTATTCAACTATCCAATAAGATAATGAAGACCTTTAATTTACTGTTCAAGTACCAAATGGGTTGAATAGCTCAGGCATTTCTAGCCCACAGGGCAGCTGACAGGAGAGCTGAACTTCTCTGATGCAACACCGCTTGAGAAACGCACAACTGTTCCCATGGAAGATTTAAGGAGGCAAAGCTGGCATCTGAATGGTACAGCATGTTCAGAGGCAGTTCACAACACTGGGTTAAGATCATGTTTTATCCAGGGCCGGCTTGGCAAGCTGGTGCTTGGGGCGGCCACTCCGGACAGGGGCGGCAGGTCCAGCTATTCGGCGGCAATTCGGCGGATGGTCCATCACTCCCGCTCGGAGCGAAGGACCTTCCGCCGAATTGCCGTGATCGCGGCTTTTTGTTTTTGTTTTTGTTTTGTGGCTGCTTGGGGAGGCCCAAACCCTGGAGCCGGCCCTGGTTTTATCTGACCCAAAACAACAGCAAGCCAGAGAAGATGACTTCAATCAACCATTAAGAACCCAGCTTGAAAATGGGAGTTGCCTGGCTAAATTCTCTAGTCAGCTTCGAAAATCTCAGCTCCAGTTCCCGACTTCTGTAC